AAACATTAAAAAGCTCCCGGCCGATCTCGACGGACCTTGAATGACGGTGTTGTCGGCGGGCAGCGGCGAGTTGGGAAGCTCACCGGGAGAAGAGGGCCAGACGCATGTCCTCAGCGTGGCGCGGCGTCGCATGACACCAGCGTAGGCGCGAGCGGCTTAACTGACGTGGGCGTAGCGTAAGCAGCGTGCGTGAGCGGCGCGCAGCGTGCGTGAGCGGCGCGCAGCGGCGAGCGGGAAATTTGAGTTTTAGCCGACTAATCGACTAAATCGAATAATTGTTGCAGCTCTACATTGGTTGCTAGGATGCGAGCAGCTGCGGGTCATTGGTTGCTAGGATGCTAACAGCTGGGCGTCATTGGTTGCTAGGATGCTAACAGCTGGGCGTCATTGGTTGCTAGGATGTTGGACATCATTGGTTGCTAGGATGTTGGACATCATTGGTTGCTAGGATGCTAGCAGCTGGGGGTTATTGGTTGCTAGGATGCTAGCAGCTGGGGGTTATTGGTTGCTAGGATGCTAGCAGCTGGATGTCAGTGGTTGCTAGGATGTTGGGCATCATTGGTTGCTAGGATGCTAGCAGCTTGGCGTCATTGGTTGCCAGGAAGCAGACATCCCCATAGTGTCATAGGTTGTTAGGATGCGCATGCCTGCATTCCAGCAACTAAGAATAATGCAAATCTGCAAAGTGACCGGAATCTCTGTGTGTCCCCATAGAAAGCCCGGGGACACTCTGAGCTTCCCCTCATCAACATGCAATACTTCCAGATCTTTAACCCTTTGTTAGGACAGACAGTGTTCAGATCTAGTTTACAGCTGACAATGAGATCTGCCAGCACAGCACAGACGGGGTTCATCGAGGTAACCTCCCGAAATTTATTGTTCAGCATTTTTTATGTGGATCTGTTACAAAGTTTCTTATATGGATGACAACGCTGCTGCCTATTCCAGGGCACTGGCTTAGCGTTGTCACACTGCAAACAGGAAGTTGCCGATACTGACAGGATCTCCGTGGAAGAAACAAATTGACCAAAAAAAAATAAAAATGATTTGCTGAAGAAAACTAACAAGTGAAACACAACGCTGAACAGAATTAGGGTCCTCATCAGTGTTCGAGTGACCCGCATGCTGTGACCCCTCCCCCCCCGGGGTAGACACGCCATTGGCTGAGAACCCGCAATGACATTGTATACTACAGTAAGGTCTATCCAGACACATGATTATTATTATACAGGATTTATATAGCGCCAACAGTTTGCACAGCACTTTACAATATAAAGGGGGGACAGCGCAGTTTCAGGGGTCAGGAGGCGCTGGCCCGGAGAGCTTACAATCTAATAGTCGCCCAGGCACCGAGCGGGTCACCGCTTCTTCCACTCACTGTGGTACTCGGCGCTCTTGGTCCCCCTGACGACATCTCGGTGCGGATCTGTTTCCGCCGCCCCCGCGCTCACCCGGATGAGGATATATTTGAACACCCCCTCCGGGTCTATCTGCACCTCGGTCACCGAGTCCAGCTGAGCCATGGCCGCTCAGGATCCGTACACACCGTCCGGAGAGAGGGACCACCAGCTGTGTTTATATATAGCACACCCAGGACCTGCCGTCGCCCCGCCCCCTTTCCAAATTTAATAGGGAGTGGCGTTAAAAGGGACACGGTCAGAGAGCAAAACACCTGTGCGATTAGGCTTCGCGGGAAGCAGCAGCAGCCTAGTGATTCGGTTTCCCCTCGCAACCCCAAAGCCGGGGGGACGCCCATAAAACATCATGGGGCCCCATAGCAAAATTTTAATGGGGCCCCACAGTGACCTCTCTCTGTAGCAGCTGTGACAATACGTCTCATCGATGTCAACACAAAGTCTGAATCAAGGACGGGGAGCTGTCAGCATAGTCCAGAGGTAGGCAAGCCCAGCACTCCAGCTGGGGTGAAACTACAAATCCCGTGATGCCTGTGGGAGTCATGCCTGTGGCTATCAGAAGCCTTGCAATGCCTCATGGGACTTGTAGTTCTGCAACAGCTGCTGGGCCGAGGTTGCCTACCCCCCGGGCGGGGGAGGGTACATTACAAGGTGGCAGAGCTGGGGATACAAGATATAGTTGCAGTAATCGGGGGCGTCCCGCGGCTGGGTGACACCCCGCAGTGACGTCATCGCGAATGCGCGGCCATCTACTTGACGCCTGCCGGCGGCCATCTTGGTGATGGACGCCGACAGAGAGAGGAGGGGACGTTCACCCGGCGGGATGAGGTGTGCCGCCGGGTCCCCCTCCAGACACTGTCAGGCTCTCTTTTCCCTACGTTATGTTATAAAACAATTATTATTACCCACATTTTTTGGTAAAATATAAAAGGCGAGGTCACGTCGGGTAAATGGACGCCAAACAAGTCAAACTTTAAAATTGCGCGCGCCCGCGAACTCGCAAAAACTACCATACCCAAAATTGGCCATAGGCGACGCTTTAAAAGCTTTTAGCGCTCATTAGCTTAGTATTATCAGTGATTGATGGCCCTAGAACTATTGCTCTCTTAACATTGGTGCTCAGTGAGGGGTAAGGGGGAGTAACATTGGGGCACAGTGAGGGGTAAGGCGAAGTAACATTGGTGCTCAGTGAGGGGTAAGGGGGAGTAACATTGGTGCTCAGTGAGGGGTAAGGTGGAGTAACATTGGTGCTCAGTGAGGGGTGGTAACATAGGTGTTGAGTGAGGGGTAGGGGGAGTAACATTGGGGCTCAGTGAGGGGTAAGGGGGAGTAACATTGGGGCTCAGTGAGGGGTAAGGGGGAGTAACATTGGGGCACAGTGAGGGGTAAGGGGGAGTAACATTGGGGCCCAGTGAGCGGTAAGGGTGAGTAACATTGGGGCTCAGTGACGGGTAAGGGGGAGTAACATTGGGGCTCAGTGAGGGGTAAGGGGGAGTAACATTGGGGCCAGC